AGAGATTTGCAATTCCAGGTCTGAAATGATCCAAATAATTCCAGTGAAGGTGCGTGGAGTTTAAAATGTCACATGAGGGACCATTGTGTTTTCAGTTTGAGAGAACTCAGCCTAAATGCGCAGGGTTTTGTGTCAAACGTGTGTGAATGAAACGAAACACAACTCCAGGTCCGTTTGTGATGAGAAAATATTGTAACAAACGATGAGAAAATAGCTGATTGGCTTTGACATTTTAATATACATGTGCTTTGTGCTGTGCAAGTGCTTATGTTTAAGTATAAATATCCACTATTTACACTATTACCCCCTTTACACACGCCTAAGTCTGACATATACCTGAATATTATGTTATTATGTTCTTTTTTCAGACCTAGAGTTTTGTTTCTTCACGTGACCACTATGAGCGCTAGTGAGTCGAAACTGAAACTATGAAAACAAAACTCTAGGTCTGAAAAAAGAACCATAATAACATAAAATATCAGAAGACCAAACTGAATCTCATTGGACTATACCTGAATATGTATTAATGTTTGAAGGGGGCAAGTCAGTGATTTCAGAGCCCTATTTTATTTGTAAAATTTTGAAGAAAATCGCAAAAACATCAGTAATACATTTTCACTTAAGAAAAAATATTGAAAGACGGCTCAGTAGCGTCACCTCAAAAATCGATGACATACAGTAACATCCTGCGTGACCCACACCGTCCTGTCCACCGCCTGTTCCACCTGTTGCCCTCGGGAAGCAGGTCCAGGTCCATACGCGACCGGAACATCTAGACCGGCCCACAGCCTGCACCCTCAGACAGTGAGGCTGATGAACAGTGCCCCGCTCTCTCCGCTCCTACAGCCAGTAAACCAAACCCACCCTTTACAATCACTGTCGACTGGACTTTACATTACTGCAAAGGGACATTTAAATGCACATCTGACTGCTTGCCCCTCCCCCAGCCTTGATGCCTCAGTTCTTTTTGTTATTTTGTTGTGATTTATTGATATGCCCCTTATTACTAGTACTGTATTCTAATGTTTACATAGTGGGCGCTCTACACTTTTATGCACTTTTAAAATACTGTGCAGTCTGTGTGATGCTCTAACGTAATTTTGTTGTTATTTCATATGACAATGACTGAATCGATTTCCATGGCTGCAATGGGAGTCATGTTTAATGCTTAGTTTGGTGCTGTAGATTGTACTGTCTTCATTGTTAGGAGAAAAACCCAGTCTAACAGATCATTTTGTGTTGTTTTTCCAGTGCTTAATGGGAATGGTTGGTCTCACGTTTGGGGCATCGATTCCTCACTGTCGGCGCGAGTGCAGAACGGTGAACAAAAATCACCCCCGTCCACAATACATGCAGGTGACAGAACTGCAGAACAAGTCCATCGCACAGTGGACGATCAGGTGAGTGTCCGAGTTTCATTTTATTCTAAAAATAAAATAGCTTAGCCCTAAGTGTTAAGTCATTTCCGCGGGAGCACATGTTGAGGTCAGATGAATAATCAGTGGAAAACAAAGCGTGGAGGACATGGAGAGGCTGATATCGTCTTATGGCCCCTAGAGAACTTTGCACACTGAGAAATGTTGGTTCACGTTAATAAAAAGTATCTATTTTGAAACAAAGATTTAGTTGCGGACATATTGTTAAAAGCTCAATTTGGGTGTACACTAAAACAAATAAATAAATGAAATAAAAATGTGGTCACTAATGGTAACAGTTATGGAGTTAGCCCTACACGCCACAACAATCCTTTCCAGGCTGGTAATTTTTTGAATTTATAATTTTACTAAAATTATACCAAAAATTCAAGGGGAAAAATGGTTAGACTTAAGTATGATTATATTAAAGCCACAGAATGTACATTTTTAGAAAAACTAAATCAAAATTAAATAAAAGCATGTGGAGGGAAATGTGGAAATGTTGTAATATCCCACAGTATGGCATTAAGCATATCTATCGAAGTGGAGAATGTTCAGAAGTATGGTTTTACTTTCTCATTTCCATGGAATCCTGCAGGTGACTTGCCACGTCCAGAAAGTTGCTTACTGCAGCTGTGTGTTTTTGTGACACGTGTAGTCTAACCTGCCATGTGCACTTTGCAGTGACATATGCACAATGTCAGTACGACATTAAAGTAATCTGCTTTTTTCTTTTTGCTGCAGGGCAGAAAATGTTGAGGGCCAGATGGACTGGGTCGCTCATTGTACATCCACCTGTCCCCCAACATTTCCGAACCCCAAGCCCATCTACGTGACGCTCTTCTACACCGAACACCTCAAGAACTCCACCTACTGCCGCTGCCCCTTCAAGGTCGCTGTGGGCTGCACGTGCGCCAAAGCATAACTACATATGCACCTGTTACATTTGTAACTTTAGTCCTAGATTACACATATACATGCTTTTTAAAATATGAATTACAAATACTATAGGCTATAACATTTTAAAATGTATTTGGAAATTTACCTTTTAGACCAAGTAACAATACACCTGAACTATGCAGGGCTGCAACAACTACTGACCAAAAACCCCTGGTCATTTTATTATTATTATTATTATTATTATTAATTAATTTATTTTTTGTAATATATTGATATACTGTAGAAGCAGCAATCAGGAAGTGTGAGTTAGCATGCTAGATGTTAGCATTACCATGACTACAAAAGTCTGCACTGGTCTCCAAGAGCATCTCCAAAAACACTATAAGCTCATGGAATGCAATAACTTTGGACCACTGCAAAAAGCTAAGACGGTAAAATGCCTTTGATAATTGTTCATTATCTGGAAATAAATAAAAAACACTATAACACTTAAAATTAGCTGGAAAGTTTACCTCATTCAAAAGAATCAAGACAAAAACATTACATGATTTGACTTTGAAGAAAAATACTAAAATACTAGTTAGTTGCAGCTCTGATGAAAAGAAGCATCCATGTGGTCTGGGGAATGCTGCTTCTACACACTATAACAAAAGACAAATGTTTAGAATAATATGGGACTTTTAAAGATGTTATTTTGGATGTTTTTTTCATTTTCAAGGATATTAACTGCTTTATGTTTTGATTTTACTGAAACAATGCTGCAACATTTCATTTTTGAAAGAGTTCTTTGCATTTTTGTATTTGCTTACAGGGGTTTACTTAGTGAATGATCCTATGGGTTAGTTTAAGGCAACTGTGACCTTTATAAGTAGGTTTAGAATTTTTAAGCTTTTCAAATGTATCAGTGAGGGTTTATGTATTATTACTTTTACCATTTTGAGGTGATGAAAGCTGTAGAAACTGTACTTGTATTTCAGAGTTATATGAAATTCTGTAGTTTGCACAGTTAAAGTATATAAAGGCTACATAGAATTTAACTTAACGATGAATTAATAGTTTACAAGGTCACTGTGAAATAGAAGAGTTTTTTATAAAACTTTTTATAAATACAGATTCTTATTATATTATAAAATATTTTTATGGTGCTGCTTTTGCAATGAAAATGTTTTAATATTTAGCAGCTTGAGGTTTTTTATTTCATTTTATAAACTGAGATCTGCACTGATGTCAAATGTGGCTAATAGAAGCTTGGAAAAAAATGCACTGTTGTTCAATAAAACTTTTGAATGAATGTATGTTCACTGTATTTCAATCAATCAAACTTTATTTATAGAGCTCTTTACAACACTCAAGATGACCAAAGTTCATTCCAATAAAACCAACACAATATAAAAACATTCAAAACAATAAAATAATGAAATAAAACAAATTGTCCAAGTGTCACTGCATTACAAAGTGTGAAAAGACCCTAACCCTGATCAGTTTTAGATCGGATTTGAGCCTGGATTTAAAGTCTGTGATGATGCATTTATCGGGGGCAGCGGCAGAAAAAACCCATCACCTCTGGGTTTGACTCTGGCTCTGGGGATTTCCAGTAGAAGCTGGTAACTTGACCTTAAGTGGAACTGTGGACAGACAGGAGTAAGTGTAAATTGGCAGTCGGAGAGGCCAGTGGTGCAGAGTGGCAGCCTTGGTTCTGCCCCGGGGCAACTATGACAACAGTGGTATCTTAGTGCATTACAAGTCCAATGTTATGAAAGCGGGAGTATTGCACTTATTGTGAAAACATAACATATTTAGATCACCATGTTACCTTTTCCTGGTTTGAAAATGTACATGTATTTGTATTGTTTTGTTTATTCGCTGAAAGCAAAGTTAGTTTCGCTTTCGCTTTTGATGCTTTGTCACTCTGCTGCTCACTGTGGAGTGTGGGGAGGGCTGAGCAGGAGGAGGGGAGCGTGGGGAGCGCCGCAGAGAAAGTCCTGGTTACATAGGCTAGTTCCGAATACATTACGTCATAGCTCCTAACTCGTAACTCCTTGAGCTATGTCACCAGTGTTGGGTAGACTATTTTTAAAATGTACTCCCCTACAGATTACAGATCCCAAAATGTAGTTTGTAACGTGAGTAACGTAATCTGGATATTGCCATGCTTTTTAAAACTACATGAACGTATCAACCACATCCTGAACATTCTTGTTTGTTCTCTTCAAATTGTCTGTTGAGTCCAAGTCTCCATGAACAGACTTTTGTTTACTGTAGAGAAGCAAAGACGAGAATCTTAACATAAGATGTTTTGTCTGTTAAAAGAAAATAACAAGTCCAGTCTTTCCTTAACCAGATTAAAAATATTATTGATAGAAAAATGATTTTTATATGAGATCACTGCTGCCTTAAATTATGTCCACCTACTGTTAGTGTCATACTGTTTAGTCCTGCTTTTAGACCTGGTTTAGACCATAAAACGGACTACAATAAGCCCCTTTTGTTCCTTTTCTTCTACTGTTCTAGTTTTAATGCACGTTGCAGCATAACAGTGCACATAAATGACCCGAGTGTGAGAAACTGCTGCTGCTGAATAAGAAAGCGCTGCACTAAACTCTACGATCTGGAAACACGAAGCACCTCCAGCGGCTCCGTATGCGCCCGCGCACGGAGCAGAAGAAATAAATCCTCCGGACTCACCCTCTCTGCTTTGTCCTCTACTCTGCTCTGTCCTCTGTCCCAACAAATAATTCCCCAAAACCCCGTCCTTTAGTCCGTTTGTGGCAGCGGCGTAGCGTAGAGCGCGCGCACTGGCTCCGTCTGCAGAGTTTACGCAATCGAGTCACGTGGTTTTAAAGTTCTCTTCTATAAACGATCCTCCCGTGTGTCATCATGCACTCTAGAGGCAAAAGCAATGAACCTGCATTGACCCTAAAAGCTTTTATTTTCATTCTTTTATAAAGTTGGGTTGGGAACACAAAATGCTTCACATGCAACAGAAAAAATGACAATAATTAAAAACAACAGCAACCCCGGCCCACTGTTTCATCCATATATGCAACAATTTAAACATAAAACATAAAACATAAACATAAAACTCCGAAGGGTTATAGTAAAAATAAAAATGGAGAGCTAAAATCACACGGAGACTAAGTAAAATAGTAATGATAACTTAATTAAAAGCAAATATACTACTACTACTACTACTACTACTACTACTACTACTACTACTACTACTACTACTACTACTACTAACAGTGATGGGAAGGTTATTTTTAAAATGTATTCCCTTACAGATTACAGATTACATACCCCAAAATGTAGTTTGTAATGTAATCCATTAAATTACTTAAACTGAGTAATGTAATCTGAATACTTTGGATTACTTGATTTGCTGTAGAGAAGCAAAGACCAGGATATTGTAACATAAGATGTTTTGTCGGCTAAAAGAAAATAAAAAGCCCTGACTTTCCTTAACCATATTAAAAATATTATTGATAGAAGACGAGGAAACACGTCCACGCAGCATGATTTAGTCCTGTTTTAGTCCTGTTGTAGTTCTGGTTTAGTCGCGGTTTAGTTGTGGTTTAGTCCCAGTTTAGACCTGGTTTAGATCTAGTTTAGATCTGGTTTAGACCTGCTTTTAGTCCTGTTTTAGTCCTGGTTTTAGACCTGGTATAGACCTGGTTTAGTTTCCGGGAATGAGTGTGTAGCAGTGCACGGCTGCTGCCTTCGGCCACCAGGTGGCGCCTGGGCTTATAAAAGGGCACTCCCCGGCGCACTTCCGGGATAGGGCTCCGCCTTGTCGCGCACAGGTAAACAACCGCTGTTCTCTAATTATAATTGCAATTTTATAATTTAATGTGTGGCTTTATTGTAGTGCCACCGCTCGTGGTGTTGGGTCGGTGTGTGGTCGGTGTTGGGTCGGTGTGTGGTCGTGTTGGGTCGGTGTGTGGTCGGTGTGTGGTCGGTGTGTGGTCGGTGTTGGGTCGGTGTGGTCGGTCGGTGTGTGGTCGGTGTGTGGTCGGTGTGTGGTCGGTGTGTGGGTCGGTGTTGGGTCGGTGTCGGTTGGGTCGGTGTGTGGTCGGTGTGTGGTCGGTGTTGGGTCGGTGTTGGGTCGGTGTTGGTCGGTGTGTGGGTCGGTGTTGGGTCGGTGTTGGTCGGTGTTGGGTCGGTGTGGTCGTGTGTGTGGTCGGTGTTGGGTCGGTGTGTGGTCGGTGTGTTGGTCGGTGTTGGGTCGGTGTGGGTCGTGTGGTCGGTGTGTGGTCGGTGTGTGGTCGGTGTTGGGTCGGTGTTGGGTCGGTGTGTGGTCGGTGTTGGGTCGGTGTGGTCGGTGTTGGGTCGGTGTTGTGGTCGGTGTGTGTCGGTGTGTGGTGGTCGGTGTTGGTCGGTGTGTGGTCGGTGTGGTCGGTGTGTGGTCGGTGTTGGTCGGTGTTTGGTCGGTGTTGGTCGGTGTGGTCGGTGTGTTGGTCGGTGTTGGGTCGGTTGTGTGGTCGGTGTTGGGTCGGTGTTGGTCGGTGTGTGGTCGGTGTTGGGTCGGTGTTGTGGTCGGTGTTGTGGTCGGTGTGTGGTCGGTGTTGGTCGGTGTGTGGTCGGTGTTGTGGTCGTGTTGGGTCGGTGTGGGTCGGTGTGTGGTCGGTGTTGGGTCGGTGTGTGGTCGGTGTTGGTCGGTGTTGGGTCGGTGTGGTCGGTGTTTGGTCGGTGTGTGGTCGGTGGGTGTGGTCGGTGTGGTCGGTGTGTGGTCGGTGTGTGGTCGGTGTTGGTCGGTGTTGGGTCGGTGTGTGGTCGGTGTTGGTCGGTGTGGTCGGTGTGTGTGGTCGGTGTTGGGTCGGTGTTGGGTCGGTGTGTGGTCGGTGTGGTCGGGTGTGGTCGGTGTTGGGTCGGTGTGTGGTCGGTGTGTGGTCGGTGTTGGTCGGTGTGTGGTCGTGTCGGTGTGGGTCGGTGTTGGTCGGTGTGTGGTCGGTGTTGGGTCGGTGTGTGTGGTCGGTGTGTGGTCGGTGTTGGTCGGTGTTGGGTCGGTGTGTGGTCGGTGTGTGGTCGGTGTGGTCGGTGTGTGGTCGGTGTTGGGTCGGTGTGTGGTCGGTGTTGGTCGGTGTTGGGGTCGGTGTGGTCGGGTGTGTGGTGGTGTGTGGTCGGTGTTGGGTCGGTGTGTGGTCGGTGTTGGGTCGGTGTTGGGTCGGTGTGTGGGTCGGTGTGTGGTCGGTGTGTGGTCGGTGTTGGTCGGTGTGTGGTCGGTGTTGGGTCGGTGTTGGTCGGTGTGTGGTCGGTGTGGTCGGTGTTGGTCGGTGTTGGGTCGGTGTTGGGTCGGTGTGTGGTCGGTGTGTTGTGGTCGGTGTTGGGTCGGTGTGTTGGGTCGGTGTTGGGTCGTGTTGGGTCGGTGTGTGGTCGTGTGGTGTTGTGGTCGGTGTTGGTCGGTGTTGGGTCGGTGGTGTGTGGTCGGTGTGTGGGTCGGTGTTGGTCGGTGTTGTGGTCGGTGTGTGGTCGGTGTGGTCGGTGTGTGGTCGGTGTTGGGTCGGGTGTGGGTCGGTGTTGTGGTCGGTGTTGGTCGGTGTGTGGTCGGTGTTGGGTCGTGTGTTGGTCGGTGTTGGGTCGGTGTGTGGTCGGTGTTGGGTCGGTGTTGTGGTCTGGTTGTGGTCGGTGTTGGGTCGGTGTTGGGTCGGTGTGTGGTCGGTGTGTGGTCGGGTGTTGGGTCGGTGTGTGTGTGTCGGTGTTGGGTCGGTGTGTTGGTCGGTGTGGGTCGGTGTGTGGTCGGTGTGTGGTCGGTGTTGGTCGGTGTGTGGTCGGTGTGTGGTGGTGTGGTGTTGTGGTCGGTGTTGGTCGGTGTTGGTCGGTGTGGTCGGTGTGTGGTCGGTGTGTGGTCGGTGTGGTCGGTGTGGTGTGTTGGTGGTGGTGTGGTGTTGGGTCGGTGTGTGGTCGGTGTTGGTCGGTGTGTGGTCGGTGTGGTCGGTCGGTGTGGTGTGGGTGTTGGGTCGGTGTTGGTCGGTGTTGGGTCGGTGTGTGGTCGGTGTGGGTCGGTGTGTGGTCGGTGTTGGGTCGGTGTGTGGTCGGTGTTGGTCGGTGTTTGGTGGTGTTGGGTCGGTGTTGGGTCGGTGTGTGGGTCGGTGTGGGTCGGTGTGGTCGGTGTTTGGTCGTGTGTGGTCGGTGGTCGGTGTTGGGTCGGTGTTGGGTCGGTGTTGGGTCAGTGTTGGGTCGGTGTTTGGTCGGTGTTGCTGTCAGATGCAGCGGCCGCTCGGCCTCAAGCCTCGTGGATGTAGAAGCGTGTGTTCTGTGGTACGTTGGCTGGTCACTGGTTTCGGGTCATGTATGGGGCTACTACCAAGTGAAAGATAAAATATAATATTCATTTTTGTTTTAATCAGCAGTTATGTGAACAGTGAATAGTCTACTCTTAAAGTTAATCTAACAAAAGGAACAAATTATGGCAATAATAAATTACTTCATGTTTTGTAAGTCACTTGTCTCTGTCTGTCAATTAACAAACCTGTAAGCCTTTTAGTTTAGTAAATTTAGTTCTACTTTCTTTAGTTGTTGGTTTTATGTTAATTATATGACTTTGGGGTGCTCTTACACATCCCTCCCATATGCCCCACTCGCCACAAGTGGAATTACCAGGAGAAAAAAAAAAAAAAGGGAGAAAGCCCAAAATGTGAAAACAGGAAAATACCACCATGCAATCCATTTATTTCAACAAAGTAACTGTAATCCAATTACCACTCACCGAAACAGTAACTGTAACCGAATACAGTTACTCATAATTTGTATTCTGATTACATAACTCCGGTACATGTAATCCGTTACTCCCCAACACTGACTACCACTACTACTACTACTAATAATAATTTTAAAACAAGTAAAAGTTTCAAGAAAAAGAAAAGATTGAGTTTACTTTAAAAAATATGAGCACTCGCAGATCAAACATGCCCGAGACTGAAAACCACTATAACACAAAATAATAAAACTATTTTTTCAGACTTGATATCGCAACAGAGCATGTTTTAAGTTGTCTTTTTGTTCACAGTTAAAGGCCCATTGTGTAACTTTTCTGCCTGAGAGTCAAATCCTTTTCTCCATGGTGTGACGTTGTCGACATTAAACATTTTTATCTTAATGTCTACCAGCACTTCCTTCCGTAGTGCGGGTTTATGCTTGTTGTTTTCTGTTTCTTGTATCTGTTGTCAGTGACCGTTGTTGGTTAAGTTTTGTTACCACGTTATAACACTACACACTGTCCGCATTTGTAAATAAATTCATATAGTTTAATGTATAATGTCTGAAAGATGCAAAATAAAGCTCATGTTAAATCAGAAGAGAGGTGGGATTAAATAAGTTTTCTGATTCCCTTCCCTTTTTGGCAAATTTTTTTGTGTGGATATTTCTATTAGAACTGTTTAATGTCCAGTGTTGTGGAGTAACAGATTACATGTACCAGATTTACGTAATCAGAGTACAAATTATGAGTAACTGTATTCGGTTACAGTTACTGCTTCAGTGAGTGGTAATTTGGTTACTTTGTTGGAATAAATGGATTACACAGCGGTATTTTTCACATTTTGGGTTAAACCAGGTCTAAACCAGGACTAAAACCAGGTCTAAACCAGGACTAAAACCAGGTCTAAACCAGGACTAAAACCAGGACTAAACCAGGACTAAACCAGGTCTAAACCAGGACTAAACCAGGACTAAACCAGGTCTAAACCAGGTCTAAACCAGGACTAAACCAGGACTAAAACCAGGTCTAAACCAGGACTAAACCAGGACTAAACCAGGACTAAACCAGGTCTAAACCAGGTCTAAACCAGGACTAAACCAGGTCTAAACCAGGTCTAAACCAGGA